GGAGCAGCTGGAGCATCGCGCAGACACTAGTACGCATGCGTGCACCACGCGCGTGCACGAGGACGCCGCCGGCCCCGTTCCGGGCGAGAAACCCACCCCTGTAGTGAATGATTTTCTGACATACTTAAAATCACAACGGAAAGGTTTTGGCAACTCTTTTTGAAGTTTTGAGTGGTTGCACTTCCATAAGACCTCTTAAATTGTGCACTATTGAGATAGGTTTCCTGAAAACCTTCCATATTATTAAGAAAAAATTATTTTGTCTCTATTCTGTATAGAAATTAAGCTTTCAGGTGACAGGGATGGTGACTCACTTGTTTCTTTTTTTAATGTAATCATATCCTTATTAATAAATGTTGCCAGGTCACACAAGGGATTTCCTTGTTGTATAATTACCTGGTCACATTAACAGCATTTTGCAAGAGTCCTGTTGTTGCTGCTTTTATGCCATACATTTATCCAACTGCTTCTATTATTTTTATTGTTACCAAAAACATAAATTAAGGAAGAAAAGCTAGAACAGTAGTATAGTGGCTTTAATTTTATTTTATTTTTTAGATTAATAGCTGGTGACCTTATAAACATGAAATGTTTGACTCTTAATGTCTATGGAGATTCTCAATCATCCAGATCATGGTTGTCCCAAAGGTGCTTTTCCAGAGCTGAAGAAGCTTGGATGAGAAGGGAAATATCTTCAAAGATAAACCAGGAAGTCCAGTTGTCTTTTGAAAAAGCACCTTTGGGTTCAACTCTTCAGCAACTTTTTGCTCTAAATGCAGAGCAAAAGAGTATAGTTTATCCATTGGACTGATATAACTTAAGAATGATTAAATCAGGAGCCTGCAGTTTCCAGAATCTAAGACTGTGATGGTGAACCTATGGCATGTGGAGCCATTTCTGAGGGCACGTGAGGCGTTGCCCTGTCAGTTCCAGCGTGCATGCACACATTGGCCAGCTGATTTCAGTCATGATTTTCGGCTGTTTTTCACCCTCTGGAGGCTTTGGGGAAGCTTCCAGAGGGTGAAAAACCACCCAGCGTGGTTCAGGAACAGACTTCAGGTTTGTGCATTGGGCTGTTTTTTGCCCTCCGGAGGCTTCAGGGAAGCCTCCTGAAGCCTCTGGAGGGAGAAAAACGGCCTAACGGGAAAACCGGAAGTCTGTTCCTGAACTTTTGGGTTGCACTTTGGGCCATTTTTTGCCCCCTGGAAGCTTCAGGAGACCGAAAAACAGCCCAATGCTCAAACTGGAAGTTGGAAAACGGGCCTGCGGGAGGCGGGGGGAGGCCTCTGGAGCCTGTGGAGGACGAAAAATGGGTCCACTGTGTCATCGCCCGCCAAAAGAGGGGGTCACGTGGGGGGGGGGGTCGCGTGGGCATACGTGGGGGCAGAGTGCATAGATCTTGTTAAAATTTATAGGCAACCAATACAATGAAAATGCTATCGCGGGAAAAATCTAAGGACAAAGTCTAATCAGATATTTCTGCTGATGGATTTGTTTTCAAAAGCAGACTCAGGACCTGAAATTTTTCTGGCTTTACAAATACGTTCCAGCTAACCACTTTTTTTTCAGATCAGAATCTTTTAATAGTAGGTCTTGTGTCTAATCCATCAAGTTAGGTCTTCCGTACAATCTTAATTATTCAGTGATGCATTAAATATAAAACATTATTGTTAATAAATGGATGTGTGCAATATTGTTCTCAGAACTGAAAAAAATGTGCATTTCATAGTGAATAATAGCTGCAGTTTACGCTCTCTCTGAAGTGCAAAAGCAGTGGAAAATATAATTGCTTTTAATATAAAATTATATAATAGTGAATTATTTATCACTGTCAATAACAGCAGTGAAATTTCTGGATCTGCATTATGTTAGGGACAAGCTATATAACATTTGCAGCAGCGATTAAAAATGTTTAAGGGTTTTAGAAGCAAGGGCTGGATTTTGTGGAAGCTTTTTTTAAAAATCATTTGTAAATCTGCTTTACTCAAGGCCACAAAAACAAACCTTTGACAGATTCTCCATCTTAGAGAATTCAGATCCAAGGCAACCTTGCTGATTAAAAGGAACTACGTAAGAAGTGAAAGGATTATAAATCTGGCAGGATTCCTCAAGTATACATTTCCAAAATATATTGAATTACAGCACATCTAATCCTGGCCAATACAGCTGAAAAGTGTTGATCTATAATATCCCCCCTACCCTGAAAGCTTTGATTGATTTCTTTTTGATTTTACAACTTTCTTTGTAAATATAATTATTTTTGAATTAAAGTTTATATTAACTGAGGTCACAGAGTCACATGTATCCTCCAAAAATTGCTTACCAAGCTTAATTTTTAATATGGCAGGTTGATTAAAACATGTCGGGGGGGAATCATATTAACTTTATTTAATGGAACTTAATGTCAAATAAATTTACATTAAATTAAATATAGTTTTTGTCCTGGCCCACTTTTATATCATGGGCTCACTTTCTTTTTAAATGTGCCCCTTTACACAATGGGGTCAGTGGTCCCACATCTGAACTCTGAAAAGTTTCCAACCTTACAATTTCAGCTGTGAAAACTCAAATAACCGTTCTTTCAGATAAATCAATGAAATGTCGGTCAACTCTTCTTGATACATTTGATAAGCTTTCAAAAAATAAATAATGTATGGATTTAATTTAGAAATAGATTAAAAGGACAAGAAACTGAAAAATAAGACAAAACACTTAAGCTATTAGTGTAGTTCAAAAAGTGAATCGGGATGGATGGCTCATCTTTTAAAATAAATATTGGAAACAGGAACTGTGTATGGGGACAGACTTATTCAGTAGACAGATAAATTAGTGAGCAAGCTAGTAATATTGCTGTTGTTCCAAACAGATAAGATCAGAGTGTTTTGTAACTCCTGCCCCCAGAATTCACTGGGGAACAAACAAGTCTGTTCTTTGTGCAGTTCAGATAAAAATCTTTGACGATCTTACTTAAGGTTCCTAAAAGTATAGAAACCTATGCATTGCTTTGTCTGTTTTTGAAGCACTTTGTATATTAACTGTAGTGGGAGTAACCTTACCAGTGTATATTCCATTAAAACAAATGAAATTTTAAAGGATTTTCTTTGACTTATGGCCCAAAAATAATAATTGATGTATGTGTAGTGTTTTCTCCCCTTGAATAAAATGTCCTTGATAAATCTTTAATGTTATTTCTATTCCTTAAAAAAAATAGGTTGTGTAATCTCTCACTAAGAAAGACATTAATAGGAGCCAACAGTTAACTTTCAGAAAATGAAGCAAGAGTAAAGAAAACATGAGATCTAGTGTTGACAGAAATGGTGTTCTATATGGTTCATCTATAGCTACCTTTTACTTGTTGTGGAACCATGTACTGCATATCATTAGCCCACAACTATTTTTTCACGACTATTTTCTTTGCAGGGAACGCTGTATTCAAGATGGTGACCTCAATTCCATTGACAGAATGAGATATCTGGAGATGAAACAGTTGAGTCATGACTCCAGCAGCCTCCAATTAACCTCTTGACTTGTTTACATGAAGAGATTTCAGTTCTTTAGCTCAGAATAAACAGTATTGCTTGGAGTTTCAGTAAGTTTTAGTCCTCCCTTAGGCAGGAAAGCCAGCCGGGTGACTTTAGGCTACTCACTTTTGCTCAGCTCAACCCACCTCACAGGATTCCATAGGAAGAGGGAACATTAATTGCCTTGAGAGATGCAAAATAAAGACTGGGTGTGTACATCAAGAAAATAAAACAATATAAAACGCATCTGGAATCCAATAGGTTTTGGCTTTGGGTCTGGACTTTTTTAACCATAGCTCTATGAGATCAAAGGGAAAGGAAGGCAGAGAGATGGAGTAATGACAGCAGAGCAACTGTATGTAAACTTTCCCAAACATCGTCTCGCAACATTTCTACTATTTCCATCTGAAATGATTATGCTGGCTGGAGAAAATCGGCGTCCTTGTTCCTTCTAGGGAAGGAACCCACTAGATTTCATGCAATTCTCAATATCCTGTTTTTGCACCCCATTTCCCTCCCCCCCCTTCCCCGCTGCAGCCATAATTAAGCATTCTGAGAGCATCAGAAGATGCTGGGATTCAGCTTTGCAAAACTCTGAGCCTGCAGGTGGCAGATTCTGTTGCCATCATAGAGTTTGCAGAACTCTATGGTTGGCAAGAGTGGTTACTCCGTTGGGCCTAACTAATTTTGTCAGCAACTGTGTTTTCTTGCTGAGGAACAATGATGAAGGAGGGTAAGATTGAGAGGGATAAGCTGGGGTAATCATTTATTTATCGATTATATTGATTTACACAGCCTTGCTTCTCGTTCTTCTTGAACACAAGATCAAGAAACCAGAAGAAGAATAAATGATCACAAAACAACAGCATAATGGTACAGTAGCATAATGGCGGCCGAGGACAATCTTATCTCTAACCACATAATCCTTAGTCATAAGAAACTACAAGGACGAGCTCACCTCACCTACATCTTGGTTGGTTGTTGGTTGTTCTTCAGAATCTCAGCAGTTTAAAAATGGCAATATTTTCTACCACTAGGGTAATGGTGGAATATAAGAATACAAAGCCTCTTTCTCTCACTAGCGTGTGTATGCGTGTACTTGGGAATGTGGGCGTGAATGGAAGGTAAGGTAGTCTTCATTTAACAACCGTTCACAGATATGTGATAACAAGGTAGATTTGTGACCAGTCCTCGCATTTATGACCTTTGTTTAAGTTTGTAAAGCAAAAGAAATAAGATCATAAGCCCAGTGGCAGTTTTTAGTATTCACTTCGCTTAATGACCCAATTGTTGGTCCCAATTGTGGTTTTGTTTAGATTTGTCTTTTCTGTTCCTTCTAATAATAAATAAATTGATCATCAGATTTTTTATCATGGTTAATTAGCATTTTCTGCCAGTTATCTTAAAAGGAGATGGTATGGCCAGTTTTGGAATGTGCTCACAGATGTTGCAACTCTTGAGATTAACACTAATTTTAATTTTGTTATATTTTCCTTTCCTCTGTTGATATCAAGTTGCTGAAGAAATTCGCATAATGCTTTAATTTACCTTTAACATTATTATTTACCCAAACCTCTAAAATCATAGTATTCTGCCAACAAATGAGTTATGGAGATTTATTAGTTTTGTTGCAATTGTTAATTATTAATTCCAATAAACAATTTTGAAAACAATCATTATACTTAAGGGTGTGAGGCAACATCTATAATAGGCACTGATATACTTGTTCTCTGTAATGCAATTAGCTACACAAAAATTGAGTTTGAATGGGATTTTTTTCCCCCTTTTATGGAGACTGCTGTGATAAATTTGATAAATATTACATATACATTTTTTAGTTTGTAATGATTATAAACTACAAAGCTTAAAGACAGTGGAAACGATGTTAATAGTCTTCAAGAACGTCCACATTTAAATCTTGAACATTTACACAATCAACTTATTCTTGTTAAGTAATTAAGATTTTGAGTAGAATAGAATAGAATAGAATAGAATTTTATTATTTGTATGCCGCCCTTCTCTGGGAGGACTCAGGGCGGCGAACAATTCAAAGGGGAAAAAGGGGAACATAAAAACGAATACAAATAGTAAAAATAAGCAACAGTCACACAACCATACATGTCGAGAGGGGAG